AAATAAAATTTCTCTTGCATCTGTACACTCATGTTAAAATTAACAAGACAGTTTCTGTTGAAAAATTAATCATGTCATTTGATAACTAAGGGTGTCCATATGTAAAAGAAAAAAAGAAAACTGTCTTTGCCAAGAAGGAAAGCCTTTAATCAAATCCCAGCACTTGCGTTGAAATGATGACCTTTTCTATTTTCAGTGTTTTGGGACATCACGTTTCCAGACCTGAAACTTTTGTAGTATATAAGGGCAATTAAGCCTTTAGACTGAAAGCATACCAAGATAAGTAATAAAAACAAGGACACTAAATTTGCTCTTCTCAGTTAACTTTGAAAACATTATAACTAGGTACAAAAGATTGAGGAAAGAGGTAATATATCAGAAATGTGGTATTTCTCATGACCTTAAAAAAATAACTTTCTGCTGGGTGCGGTGGCTCATGCCTGTAATCCTGGCATTCTGGGAGGCCGAGGGGGGAGGATTGCTTGAGCTCAGGAGTTCAAGATCAGCCTGAGCAAGAGCGAGACCCCGTCTCTACTATAAATAGAAAGAAATTAGCCAAACAACTAAAAACAGAAAAAATTGGCCAGGCACGGTAGCGCGTGCCTGCAGTCCCAGCTACCCCGGAGGCTGAGGCAGGAGGATCGCTTGAGCCCAGGAGTTTGAGGTTGCTGTGAGCTAGGCTGAGGCCACGGCACTCTAGCCCAGGCAAGAGAGTGAGACTCTATCTCACAAAAATAAATACATAAAATAAATAAATAACTTTCAAAAATGACATTTCATAAATTTTTAATTATAAATCTGAAGGAAATGACTTAATAAGAGGAATTATGTATATATTCTATTTCAGATGATAGAAAATTGGTATACAAATTTCAAAACCTCTAAGCAGTACAGAACTTTCTGTGATGAGGAAATGTTCCATTCTAGGCTGTGTGATACAGTAGCTACTAGATACAAGTGGCTACTGAGCACTTAAAATATGGTTACTGGGAATAAGGAATAGAATTTTAAATTCTATCTAATTTTAATTAATTAAAATATAAATTTAAATACCTACATATGGCTAGGGATACTACATTGAACAGTACAGCTCTGGGGAACTGGGAGGAAATACTTGAATCTTAAATTCTGATCCAAATAGTAAAAAGTCCTATAGATGGGCATAGTGTATAGATGATTCTGAGACATACATATTTTTTAAAATTCTTGTGATTTATATAGAGGAAAGGACTATAATACAACATATAAAAATGCTGCTGCATTTGTGGGAACTAAATTTTCTATACCTACCTTCTAGCGGGGTTTAGAACATTGGTTCCCAAGTTGGCTCCACGTTACAATTTAAGTTCTTAAGGAGCTTCTAAAAATGTGAATGCCTGGTTCTTACCCCCCAAAATTCCAGTTTAATTGGTTTGGTTTGAGGCCTGGGCATAAAGATTATTAAAAGCTACCTGATTCTGAGGTACAGCCAGAGTTGAATACCACTAAATTAGAAGGAAAATAAGAAACTGTTTATTAAGCACAGATGCAGCATGCAGCTAAAGACATTTCTTGGCTGGTAGGTGAAGAGGGCCTTTTGACAACTCAGATTCAAGTCAAAACCCCTGAGGGCTAAATGTGAATTACACATTCTACACATTTAGGAATGATCTGAGTAGACAGTCATAAGTTTTTGTGATTGTTGAATGTTATTTAATTTTGTAAAAGAGATTAGCAAGGAAGGAAGCAAACTAAAAACTGAGTGTCAACTTTCACTTGCCACTTTTGCATATATTATTTAACTTCATCCTCAAAATACCTTGGGAGGTAGATATTATTAAGTTATTTACAGATGGGCAAAGTAAACTTAAAGAAGGTCTCTAGGATTTAGACACACGTTTGTCAGACAATAAAAGTCCTCCACATTTTTTATACTATTGCAGAAGGATTCTCTTTGAGGCAATTAGTTTCAGGTAATTTTCATACTTTACCAGTGTGAAAACAAAATGAAACAAAATAAAAATAGGAAAAAAGCAGGATTCAGTGGTAGAGCACAGGATAAGGCAAACACATTTAACGAGTACTGGGACCAGTTCCCAGTTCCCATATTGCCTGTGCATCTGATAGCAAACTCTGGGGAAAACATGTTAAGTTTATGGTTCAAATCTACACCAGCCTCTATACTAGATCGTTCAGGAGTTACTATCTTTTTGTCCTAAAAAATTAAACAATTGGTCTCCTACTGCCTCACAAACTATTAGTGATAGTTACACATTCTTAACAAGAGGGTTGGGAATAGCATGCTTTCCAGCCTGACACCAAACTGGAATAAGATAAGGAAAGGTCTTAAAGATGTTTTTTCATTTTTCCACCAAACTCAAAGGATTATTAGAACTTCTCCTCCCAAAGCAGTTTTGATTTGATGTGACATATTTATAGCAAGCATGGAACTTTTAAGTTTAATTTAGAACATTAAAAGTCCTATATTAATTTACTCATTAAAAGCTATCTTTTAAAAATCTAGTTGCTGGACCCATCTTAATTTTCAAATTAAAAGAGAAAGATTTTTTCAGAAAAAAACAAAGGAAATCAAGAGCAACAGATCCTCACTCTTCCCATCAGCAATGATCCTTCTATCCTGAGACCCAGTATCTATCTTTTCTCCTTTCTCAGGCTCCTACCTTGTAAAGTGACATTAACTCAAATGAGTCATACTTGGTTACATCAGAGACCAACAGGAGAACACTTTCAGTGGCACAGAATTCTTCCAAAGCATATTCCAAAATAAGAACATGTTGACAAGAGTAATTCCTAAATGCACTGGCTTGGAGTATGTTTGTGTTTGTTTTCAATTTCAAATGGTATTAATTATAATTTAATTATATTATAAAAAGTGTTTTGTAGTTTATTTAAAAATTACACACTCTGTGAAAAGAAGATGAAGAGAAATAAAAAGAAGTAGTCGTAGTAGTTTAACCCTTATAGTCCTTTTCTCCAGTTTGTTTGGAGCAGTGCAATAAGAGGAGCTGGAAAAATACACAATCCATTGACATGGGACAAGCTACAGTGCTTCCCCATCCAATCCTTAACCTATCAAAGGTGGAACAAAGCAAGACCTGTTTTTCCTAATAATAATTAAAGAATGCCTCAATTCCATTCATTTAAAGATGAACACCTATTATCTGTATCATCTACCCAAAACAACTGATTAGCCAATTCTCATATTCACATCCCGCGTTTAGGAGGCATCCCTCCAAAAACAAACAAACAAACCAACAAAAATCAAACAACAACAAAAAAGAGCAATGTAAGTTTTACAACTTTTGACTCTTATCATAGTATTAAAATCTGTTCTTTCAAATTGACACTGGTTTGAGTGTGTGTGTGTGTGTATTACTCGTGACATGAAAAGTCATTTATATTTTTGGATGCTGGTAATCATCCTCCAAAATGTAAGCAGGCTTTACATGCAAGTAAAAATTTTGGTTGGACAAATGTAAATTCAAAGATAAACCTACATGATGGTAAAGGAAGTCATAATTCTCTAATTGTAAAAGTGAAAGATATTATGAAATTAGTCTTTTTTCTTAACAACTAGCCCCAGATATTTTGTGTTTTTAATTCCACCTTCCATCCTGTTCTCTCCCCACACACACTCCCACAAAGCCTCTAATTAGAACGCAATGTTATGAAAAAAGTATAATAAATTTAAGATTGGATGGTAGTCAGTGAGCCTCTGTATGAATTTACTGAATCAATGTATGCATGAACTTAATTTTAAAAATGCTCCTAGAGATATTAAAAGGATAAATAATTTGTATTATAGCACCACCACAAGCAGCCAATGAACATGAAGCAAGATTTCACCTGGACCCTGCCAACCCAGTCATCAAGAATTTGGGAAAATACCAACGCCTGTTTCATAACACAGCGACTTTTATTTTTTTTTCCACCCTTTAGTAAACTCTCTAGTTACAAATTTTAAAATCTTGCTCGGGGGGAGGGGAAAAATAAAATCTTGCTAATTAGTTACCAGCGCCCTTCATCCCACAGATTAGGTGTCCTACATTTTGTTTAGGTCCCGCCTTGAAAACAAACCCGATTGCCCCATTTTCTGAGAGGTAAACTCAGCTCTAGGCAGCTCCCTATGAAGTCACCGCGTTTGTTGTTTCAAAGATGCAATTAAACCAAAAAGACACAAGACTGTCGAAGAGATTAGTTGGAAGTGTATAGTGGTGTCGATCCCATACGTCTAAGGTCAATGAAAACCGTATTGCTGTAAATCTCTCTTAGTGATATTTCTCCCCATCCTCCCTTCTCCATTATATTCACAACAGAAGAAAATTAAACTTCTTAAGAATTTTCTGGACTTTGGTTTAACTTCAGCTTTCCAGTTTTCTGCACTTACGTATCATGTAATGGGGAGGTGGGGGTTAGAGTGTTAACGTGACCAAGTAGAAGGAAAGCAATAAAAAAGAGCTTGCATCAGGCAGTGTCTCTCCCTCTGCCCCCTCTTCCCCCCTCTCCCCTACCCCCACCCCCTGTTCTCCCAGGCCTTCCACATACACATTCTTCTGGGCGGCCTCTAACCACACCATCTCCACAATCATGTACAGAAATTAGAAACAGATTCCGGGAGCCCTTCCCTTAGCACGCACAGAGCAGAGCTGTACAAGCACGACGGGGCAATGTCACTCCCTGTTACCCCACAATCTTTTACTCTCCCCCTCTGGGGTTTCAGCCGAAGAATCCGGCTGTCTTCCGCGGAGGAGACAGGTCCACCTAGTTAGCAGCGAAACTTCATCTCCGTCTTCCCCACTCCAGCCACCCCACCCCCACGCCCACATACAAAAACACCCCGCCACCAAAACCAAAGACAAGTTCCTTCCACCAGGGCACAGAAGAGTTGGGTTTGGGGGCTGGAGCAAAAGCAGAGAGAGGAGGGAGGCAGCGAGCGCGCTGTACTTTGTTTTGCACTTTTGCACACGCAGTCCGGAGCCCGGGGCCGCTCTGGTCCTTACCGGCTCGTCCGGAGACCGCGTCCTGCTACTGGAGCGCCGGGCGAGGGCTGCGGGGACGCGGCGTCGGGGCGGGCCGCCGGCAGCCGCCGCGAGCCACCACCTCTTCTCCCCCAAGCGGCAGCGGGCGTGGGCCGAAGGAGCTGGAGGAGCCTGGGGAGGGAAAGAAGAAGAGCAGCATCTCCTCCTCCTCCTCCTCGCCTCGGAAACGCCCCTCCAGAGGCGACCCCGCCGACTGCCTGACCCCAGAGCGCTCGCGCACCCTCGCCGCCCTACTGTGCTCTGCGCGCCTCCGAGAGCTTCGTCAAAATCTTCGGGCGCGGACGGCTCAACTCCTGCAGCAGACTCTAAGCGCTGCCGAGGCGGACCGGGGAGCTAGGGAGTGCGGCTCGCCAGCACGACGGTCTCTAGGGGCCGTGAGCATGGTGTGTCACCCTCGCCTCAGCGCGGCCGCTGAAGCTTTCTCGCACCACTCCGGCTCCACCTCAGGCAGCCGCACCGGCCCCGCCCCCCGGTCCTGTCACTCAACCCTTCGCGGGCTCCGGGAGGACCACAGATCTTCGACCGTGAGCTCCCCTCGACCTCATTGGCCCGCCTTGCCTCCAGCCCCGCCCCCTCCCTGAAGACGAGGTCGCTGGGGAGACCAGCGCCCCGGTTCCCATGACAACCGGTGCCTTGGGCCTGGCTTTCCGCGTTCCTCTGACTAACCAGACGCTCAGGTTGATAGCCGCGCCACAAAGTTCCTAACCCCTGCCATGTGGACTCCTACTTTTAGGCCAAGTGGAAAATGCAGCGGACAGCACCCACACTTCCAACTTCAGAAACGTAACTGCGTGACGCTGGGGAGTGAGGGGGAGAGTGAAGAATGCGTAACCGCTCGCTCTTCCCCGGTCCGTCTAAGTAGCCCCTCCCCCCTTGCCCTCCGCTGCCCCTCGGCCTGGTTTCCATATTCTCACCGGCGATTTGGGCCTTGAAAGGGTGAGGAGAAGGGGAGAGAGAAAAAGCGGGGCTTTGCCGGCTCCCTGCAGCAATATAGCAAGTTAGAAATGGCGGGGTCGCCGAAAACAGCTCGGTGAGTTTTCCCACAGTTATAAAGTGGTCTTCAAAGGTGTGGTGGCTGCACAAGCCCAAATGCCCTGAGGAAAACTCAAATTCTCGTATTTTTGAAAAAAAGCATGTAAATGCTGCTCTCGTTATTTTCTCTATGAAACTGAGGTAATCCTTAAATTTAAAAATTTAAGGAAAAGGTTTAGCATACTCTCTCTAAAATAACCTCCATTTTTGTATAGGCACCGCAGCTTGGCAGAGGTACATCCGGGTAGCCGGTCCGCGGCTGCAAGCTGGAAGATTAGAGTTTCCATAGTTTGGAAGAGTGCCTTCGACATCCACGAGCAAATAGTATCTTGTGACGTGAGTTTCGAAAGTTTTGGCTTATTCTGGGATGTGTGAGGTCATCTGCCCCAGTCTGGAAACGGGATGTGCAGTAAATTTAGTCTGGGACCCCTAATGTTGACCCCCTAGGTGCATCCGAATTTCATGGCTGGCTCCGAAATGAAGCGATCTGAGGCTTATCTGGCTTCTCCAAGGAAGTCAGAGCTGCAGTCCTAAATTCCCTGCCCCCCCTGGCTGCCACAGGTGTATGGCGAACGAGGGAATGAATGGTAATGGTTTACCACGGGCGGGCACTTGAGTTTTCATTGTATCATTGACTAAATGAGTAACTGTGCTGGGTGTCTCGAGTCGGATATGCCTTGCAAGAATGCGATTACACACAGGGCTGAACACAACGGAAAATGCAAAACGGGATTTTAAGATAAGGTCCCTGCCCTCAAGGAGCCAACCGTGGAGTCTAAGAAAGAAAACTAGCACCCTTGAAACAATTCGAGAACAATTATAGCTAAAATGCGTGGCCAGACTTAGAGCACAGTAGCAGATAAGAGAAAGACTGGCATGCGGAATAGGCTGGCTTAGTCAGGCTATGGAGGAGGGTTTTGAAGGGTAGGTGGAGGGATGAATGAAGCAAAGATGAGGAAAGACAGTTGAGAGAAACAACAAAAAACTAAAGAGCAGAAGCAGGAATGAATGGTGAAAGTAAATAACAGAAGGTCAGCCCAGTTGGACTGGAGACAGAAGTGAAGGATTGGACCCCCTTTTCCAGCCCTTCCCCCATTTTTCAATGTTCCGGTTCATCTACCAGGGAGGTGAGAAAGCGGGGGGGGGGGGGGGGGGGGGTCAGACTTGCAAGAACAAAAACTTTCATGGAAAATCTGCCTCTGTTTGCCACTGAAAGAAAATTTATGTATTTATTGGAAAGAAAAGCGATATCTGTAATACCTGCAATAGCTTGTGAATTCGTGTTCAGAAAGAGGGTATAGAAAGTATAACATTGTAAATCTCTGCAAAAGTAGACAAACCACAGTGTTGTAAGCTTTTTTTTTTCTTTTTTTCTTGCATTTAAGGCCATTTCAGGTGGTTGCCCTCAAGGCTTTTTCACTAGTAATCCCTTTGTTTTGGATGAACTGAAAGGCTGTTTTTAAAATAAAACCTGATAAAACAGTACACAAAAGGGAAATCTGCAGGTTAATCTCCTTTTGCATATAATGTAAAAGTCAAAATAAAATACTAACAAATAGAACCCAGCACTACAATACAAATGATATGTCAAAATTAAGAGAAATTATTTCATGTATCCAAGTCTATACTGGAATGATTCAATAGTAGAAAAAAATTTTCATATAGTTGACTATATTAATAAGTCAAAGAAGAAAAACAGTATGAGTGTCTCCATTGATGCTAAAAAGAATTTTGCAAAATCCAGCATCATTCCTAATAAAAATTAGAATTTGGAATAGATAATTTTAATATATATGTTACACTAAAGCCAGCAACTTCCTTTACAATAAAACATTGTAATTATTCCTGTTGAAGTCGGGAACAAGAGGCAGAGCGGGAAGGGGAGTAAAAAAAAAAAACAAATAGGAAACAAGGCAAGAATGCTCACCATCACACCATGTAACAATGGAAATGATAGCCAATGCAATTAGATATGAAATAGAAACAAGAAATTAAATACTGCAAATAAATCAGGATTGTCATTTGACTTGAATGCAGTGGCTATTCACAGATGCAATCACAGTGCACTGAGGCCTTGAACTTCCTGATCCTCTGCCTCAGCCTGCCTAATAGCTGGGACTACAGATGCACGCCACTACATCTTGCTTCATCCATATGTTTTCATAAATTCACCAAGGGATCTATATCTCTCTAAAGTTTTAAGATTGTGTGTTTTAAATGCCAATGATTTTAAAGTACCATCTTTTACCTCAAAGGCTGAAATGAATTCTGGACTAATCCAAATCTGTAAATAGTAATGTTTTCCCAGCTGGCTTCTTGTGTTCATCTCAATGTGAAATATTTGTATTTTGGCTTTTACCAACTATGTTAGTGTTTTTCCCTACTCTGAACCCACAAACACATTCTCCTTTTTTGCTTGCAGAGTAAGAACTGTGATGGGAACTTTGCCCAGGTGAGAAGCAGAAGCAAGATAAGCAATCCACCAAAACATGAGCAGGTAATTGGAGCACAAACTCTGACAGTGCTTAAGGAAGACTTTGTGAGGCAATACTAACACTTCTAAGTGAACCAAGAATTAGCTAGGGAAAAAAATCCAGTGATGAAAACCAGATAGGACTACAATTATCCTCATTGAATAAACCGTCCATACCCTCCATTGAATAAACAGGTGTTTTTTTGGCGGGGGGTAGTTTTTTAAAATTTGAGAATTCCCCTAGGATGTGGCATTACATGACAGCAATAGCATAGATAGCTCTAAACGTTGGAGGCAGCCTGTTAGCTCAGCACATTGAAAAGAGCGTTGCATTTGCACTCAGAAGACCTAAGTACAAATCTTGGCAAGCCAACCTAACTTCTTTGATCATCTTCCTCATTTATAAAATGACAGAAATAAGAATAGCTAATATGTTCCACACCTGATAGCCTGTAATGTTCTTTCAGTATTCAGCAGAATGAAATGAAATATGTGTTTGAAAACTGTCTGTAAGCTTTAAAGCACTGTTTTAAAAATCAAACAGAAACAAACAGCTGTATGTGTTTTTGGAATTAGTGAATGTTTTAGACTTGAGATAATTTTTGAAAATAATCTCCTTCATTCTGAAGGTAAACTTTGGAAAATGTTTCTTTGGTAAGAGGACTAGCTAGCCCTATGAAATATTAAGTCAGAAAAAATTAATTGTGGTACTCCTGTTAATTTCTACTTTCCTTCACCAAGCTACTTTCTTTTGATACTTAGCTCATTTCCACATTTCCCTCATTGTCCCCACACTGACAAGGGCTAGTTAGTTAGGGCTAGTTAATTAGGGCAAGTTATTAATAGTTAGGGTTGGCTACATGTTAGGCTAAAAGCAGTCACCTGTTCCTCCTTGATTTGCCAGGTGCTTTGAGGCTCTATCTGAACCAAAACATTTCCCTCACCTAAATTCCTTGGCTGGAAATTCTCACTTTTAGTCATTAATTAGTTAAACTGCAAAGGTGTTATCTTTCAAAAGTCATAGTTAAAATTCACTTTACTTTCTAGCTTTCTCTCTTAACACATTAATGTGGATTGTTTATCAGATTAGGTTAGTTGTCACTTTAAACCCTGAGGGAGAGAGATACTGGAGCAGCAAATTTTAATTAATGAAAGGGAAGGAGGAAAGAGGGGAAGTCAGTTTCAGTGATGAGTGGAAGAGAGAGAGAAAGGGAGAGGAATTTGGTGGGAGGAGAGGTATGTGGCATGAAGGTGACCCTCAGGGCTGATGATACCAACGGAGGGGATCAGGGAAGTAAATGTAGTACTGAAGGGGTGTGGCACTGAAGTCAAACTGCCTAATTCACAATTTTTACTAGGGTTGGTCCTGTCTCTGACTCATATCTACTACTTGTCCTGGCAAGTTATGTAGCTGCCTATTCAGTTTGGTTGACGGCGGTACAGCAAATAAGCACAACCTTTCTGGTTTCTGAAACGGAGCCATGTTAGAACATACGCTAAGTAATTTGATATGAATATGCTCTAATCCTGACCCACAGGGACTTGCCTTAGGGTTCATGGCTGCTAATCTTGATTTTTCAGAAGTGTTCCCAGAAATGGAGAGCAAGACAGAAGTTAAGCTTTCTAGTTTATACTCTGTTTGAAAAAAAGCGATTTCACACTGTCTGATGGGAGTGAACTGCTATGCAAGAAAATTGATCACTAAAGGCTTTGTTAGGTGGAGTTGGAGAGTTTAATAAGGCATCATTTTGAAAAAAAGTTGTTTTTAGTTTATTGCCTTGATTTTTACATTTTCCTCTATGATGTCTAACAGAAAACTTAGAAGGAAAAATGGTCTTATCTATAGAGACTAGTTATCAGTTTAAGGCCAAATCCAGACTTATGATATTCACATGAAAAGGGGAAATGATGAAT